CACCGGAAGAGAAAAATGATCTTAGAGAATAAGGATATTACTGAAGTAAAGATAACTTCAAACTAGGAAACACGGATTTTGAAAGATTCTTTAAGAAAAAAGTATGATGAGATGGAAATTATCGATCGGAGTGGATCTACCGAACTTGAAGAGATCGATTTGAGATTTCCATTTGAATACAAAACTTCTTTTTTATCATTCCATGATGTCCAAGATCCAATAATCTTTCTTGGGGTTACTTTTCGGTATGATTTGGCCATTGAATTTGTTTGTTATTCACAATTAATGTGTTTGAGTGTGGAAAAAGATGTGTTTGGTGGAAAAGTTCAAGTTTTAAGAGATAAACAAGAATATTTTGAGTTCTATGATCTGTTTTGAGGTTTGTTTTTGTGAGAAATAAATTTGTCAATCTATTGAAAACTTTGAAAAGGTGGAAAATTTATTAGAAAACTTTGAAATTAGATGTATCTGATAGTCAATTAAAGAAAAGATTTTTTTTTGAAAAAAAGAACGGATTCTGATATGATAACAAAGTGATTATTCAGTAAAACATTACAAAAAGGCTCTCTTCTTTGTTTTTTCGGAATTCATCATAAAAGCAGCTATTTCTCGGTATCTCTTATCAAAAATTTCTTACCAGAAATTGAAAACAATAAATAACAAATAAATAGCAATCCCATTGTCTTTAAACAATTTTTCTTCCACTATTTTATTGCCCTACTTACAACTTTGAAGGTAAAACTCAAGGGTAAAACTGAAGTCTAACTGAAGACTGACTTTTTGAAGTTCAAGCAAAGAATTGTAGTGCTTTGAACATTTTTCTTTCTTACAGGCCTGGAAACTCCGCAAATCATGACAATCCGCCAGCAAGACGGCATTCCCCATGTAATCTCAAGTTCCAGCTTCACTTTTAAGCAATGGAGAAAAATGGCTGATTTGCCTTCACGACTATTCTTTTCTTTGGTCTTCCTTTTTTGAGCTCGCATTCTGGGCACAACTTGACAAAAATTTCGATTACTCCTTTTGAGATCCCATGATAGTCTCGTAGTCCTTGCCACATTATATCTCGTCCGGCGTGCCCAAGTCGTTGGTGAGTGGTCGTTAACAGGCCAAAGAGCTCCTCTTTCTTGACGACTTTCTTGGGTTTGTCCAAATCGCCTTTGATCCCATGATTGTAAAGCACCTCTTGATTTAATTCGTATCGAAGAGAAAATCGCACTACAAGTTTTTGTGTTTTTTTCGATGATTGGAAGTCTTCATTCCGCAATTGTTGGAGAACGGTGACGATTTCCGCGTATTTCGATCTTGAAAGAATCAAACTTCGCTTTTGATTTGATTGAAAGTGAGAAAACTGCAGGTCGAATTCTTTCTCCATTCCTAAAAAACAAAAATTAGTGTAGCTTAAACAAAAAATGCACAGTAACAAAAAGAAAAAATAGGAATGAAATAAGGGGTTATGTTCGATTATAAACAGATTAGTGGTAAACAAGTTTTATCGATGATCCAACAAAGGGGTCAAATTGACTTACAAAAACAAACAATTCTATTTCAAATAAATGACGAATCAGATAGAAAATGACGAAAAGGGCCCTTCTATAGCCTTTGGTTAGAGTATGATAAAATGCGCACTCTTTAGAATGCGTTGAGTAGCTTTTAAGCGCCTTTTAGAGAGCTTGAGTTTGTGGTATTGACTTGAGTCAATACATAACTCAAGATTTCATCTTTGAGACTTAATCGGCTAGCCGAAGAAGGTTTCTCTAGCGAAAAAATTTGAGACTTCTTCGGCTGAAATCCTTCATCGGTTACGACACATAGATCTTACAGAAACTTGATTCTGTGAGTTCTATTAGGTTGGCAAGAAAATTCGTAGCACAAGTTTGCACAGTGATTTCTCAAAAACCAAGCCATGAATTTTTCCCAGATTTTTTGATAAAATAAATCAGAGTGGGCTTCGGTTAAAAAGCTGAAGTGACTTGGTCACTTTTTGAGTGACCAGTCTTTAGACAAGTTTTTAATGGGTTAATAGGCATGGGTCTCATTCAAAACCTAAAATCAAGTACTTAGAATAGGGAAAATTTGTGATTAAGGCAAATTTGATCTAATGCTTTAACTTTTCAGAATCATCTATTTTAGCAAACACTCAGTGCCGAGAAGATGACATCAAAAAATGATTTTTTTGAAATACAGCTTCTCGGTAAAAATTTTTTGGCCTAAAATAAAGATTAAAGAGCGTATTGCTCATTTATGCTACCTTTACCTCATAAGGAATCCTTTTTCTGGTGAAAAAAGTGAGCTGAATTTAAGCTATAATAATTTTTCAAAAATCTCTAAAATTTTAAGAAAAAGCTGCACTCCTTTTTTTTACGAGTAATTTCTTGGAGTCGACTTGTAAATAATAGAAGAAAATGCTCTCGAATTGGTGGATTCGTTTTTAAGAAATTCCAGTCAAACCTTTTCCGAGAATGTTCTTTCGAATCTAATAGCAAAATCCACAAATAAAAGATTGCGATATGCTGAAAATACCTTGTTTCATTGATAAGCTGCTTTACTGATGTGATTCGAAAAACAAAAATGATTTCACGTAAAGACAAGGTCAGCTCAAATGAAAAAACGACCTTCTTTGATAAACAGAGACAGTCGTTTGGCTTTCGTAAAAGAATTGATCCTCGAGACACTCAATTTCTTTTCGATTCTCCATTTTAATTTGATCCAAAAATGGATTTAAGCAATTTGTTTGTCTCCAGTTTTCCTGATAAGTCCTTGAAATTTCAATGTATCTTCCAATTCACTGTATTCTTTTTCTCCACATTACTGCCAAAAGAGTAGCCATCTCCCCTTCCAAGTCCTTCACCCACAAAAGTCATTCAAGTGTCGACTCCATCCCAAGCTATCAGCCGATCAAGAACAGTCATCCACAAATTGACATCTCAAGTTATAATTTCTTGATCGACCGATCCCCACCCGGGGTTGTCAAAAAGGGGTAACCAATTTAGAACCTTGTTATATTCTATCGTAATCGCTTTTTCAGAGAATCTTCTATTTGAAAAGTCCCCATTGACAGAATCTGGTGATGGATCTAAACAAAAATTAGAGGTTTTTTTTAAATTGAAGACTTCAAAAAACTAGACAAGATATTTCTGAGTCTTTATCAGCTCTTTTCAATAACACCAAGTCCTCAACTCACTTCTGATCTCAAGGCATTCCTGAACGCATCTCCTATTGATTGAACTTAAGCGAATGTATCCATCGTTGTATAAGCAATCTTTCAGTTTGAGCATTGGATGACAGGGTTGAGTGGAAAAATAAGGAACACATTAGGTGATATTCCATGGAATTCCTCCCATACATCAAGGCAAGTCTCGCTCATCTAACTGTCATACTTGATTCCATTGCATGTTTTGTGCATCTTGAGACAGGAAAATCATCGAGATTAAGTGACTCTTTTGAATTTTTTCGTTGAATCAATCAAACACAGCAACGGCTTTGATGAAGTGCATTGCAACTTGAAGATCTCCACACGCTCAATGTCTTCTAAAGATGAGCGAGAACACAACGAGAGCTTTGCGCGTTGCTATGTGGAATGATGTTTTTTGTTTCAAAAAATAACTACAAAGTTTTTGATTCTATTTGTCCTGAAATTGAACAGATTTTCAGTGTAATCATGATTTGCTGAGTCACTTTGCCGAAGCCGATGATGAACCAACCTCTTAGAGTCTGATTAACTACAAAGAGCAATTGTCAAAATTTATTCAAATAGAAAAAAAAGGGATTTGCAAAATAGAATAGAAAGGAGTCAGTGTGAGATGTGTGGGGATCGGTTCTTCAATAAAATGATGAGGGCCGGGAGGGCTCTTCTTGTCGAAATCCGTCGAGATGTTCAGTTTATTCTTCCCATTGCCCAGTTCCAGACCTCCACCATGTTTTACAGTTGAAACTTGGTACTTTGGATTGTTGTGTTGATTAGTCGAACGTCGTGTATAACGGATTCCATCGGTCGAAAAGACGGTTGAAGCATCTGAATCTTTTCCACCGTTATCCCCAACTTTTTGACGCTTAGAAGCAATGGAGAAAAAAAATTTTTGATATCTTTCGGCATTTTGTTGAAAAGTGAAAAGTGAAAGAATATTTGAAGCGCGCGATTTTGTTAAGAAAATAAATTCTTACACAACAATATCGGCAATCGCATTCTTTCAACAATCTTACAGTTTACGGTCTAAAATTTGAATAATTGCACAACAGGAAAACAGTAAAATTATGATGGCTGCTGGGGGAGGGACTCTAATTTTTTTGCCCCCTCCCGAAATTTTTTTTCTGGCTACAGACCTGGTGAGAAGCTAATGGCCTCAGCTAACGACGATAATTATTGGTGTTCAGCAGATTTAGCGAATTTTCCTTTTTTCATTCAAGTGAAACCTTTTTCGCAATTCATTATCTTTTTGCGAATGGAACAAAAATAGAATCTACAAGTTTGCATTTGAGAAAGAAAAACATGCCCAACATCTTCCAAATCTTTCAGGAATTTCAGTTTAAAGCTAAAAAATTAAAAGAGAATAATCAATTTTCTATTTTCTCAGCTTCTTTACTTGCCTTGAAATTCATTTTTTTTTAATTTTGGCATTAAACTTATAGAACGCTTTTTCAAATTTCTTTCATAATTCATTTTCCATTTTCTCTTGTCAATCTTTTGAATTCCCAAAAAATGAAGGCTTATGCGATATAATTTGAGGTGAAAAGGGGAAAGGAGCCGAGAAAAGCAAGAGTAAAAAGACATCGGTGTTCGAGAGAGACAAAAGATAAGCAAAGGAGAAAAAGCACAAAAAAATTGATGAAATCGGTGCTTAGGCGATGTTATTATACAACTATTATTATGCCCATTTATATTCTGCGACTCTTTTTGGTTCACAGTCATTCTTGTCAAGAACTCGATCTTTGCTTTATTTTACTGAATGAGACGACTCATTTTGACAGCTTTAGATTGGACTCGTCCGAAAGATCCACCAATGTCTCTAGGTAATCAAATCAAAAGGCAATTATCATAATCTTAGCTTGAAATTCTAAAGATTTACATCTAAAGATCCCGGAATAAGCAAAAGACTAAAGCTTACGGTATGTGAAACCAATACTGTGGCTTTAATTATATCATCTTCAAAGCCTTAAGCTTCGAAGAAAGTTTCACGTTCAAATGCCCAGAATCATCTTATTCATGAGTTCTGAAAACAGTTGTTTCCCTAGGTCATGCCTCAATCCTTGCAAATCTCCTCAAGAATGGCGGGAATGTAATCGAGAAATCGTGGAATGTCAACAATGACACCTTCGATTCTGATCAAGTTGTCGATTTTGCTTTCAAATTTTCCGATTCCCACACCGATTTTGGAATTGGAGCGTTTGTGTGGAATGAACGATATGTACAGAAGATCATCAAAAAGCTAAAAGACAACAAGTTCCCAGGTACAAGTTTACAAGCAGCTAAGATAGTTCAGTTTTTCAGGAAACATTATCATTGGTGGTCCACAAATCAGCTATTTGAAGTCAAATCACGAGAAATATTATCAACAAGCTGACATTTTCATTCGAGGATATGCAGAGAATTGTCTACTCGAATATCTTCAATCAAAAGAGAAATATCCGAAAGTTGCTGGACAAGCAGATGGTGAGTATATGAAGAGTTTTTGCAAAAGTTTGCTTACAATTAGTTTCCTTTTCATTCATCACCCTTTTCTAGACAATCGAGTTGCCCGTGCTGGTTTGGAATCCCTTCCTTCCCCAATCCTTTCCGGTCTAATCCCTCCACAACATTTCATTCGATGGGAAACACAAAAGGGATGTCCATTTCGATGCTCTTTTTGTCAACATCGAGAAACGGATCTCGGGGGCGAAGCGTTGAGAAGAAGGAATTTTGAACAATTACGGTAAATGGCATCTATCATCCATGTTTAGTCATTTCCTTCAGTTTCTATTATAATCTCAACATTTCAGAGTCTTCAACGAGATCCAATGGCTGGCTGAGAATAAAATTGGTGATCTAGCGGTGGTGGATCCAACTTTCAATTCGGGAAAACAGCATGTCGGAATCATTTCGGGTAGAAAAGACCAAAGGCCAACAATCCTCTTCTAGAGCTAGCTGATCGTGGCTTCACCGGAAAAATCGCTCTACAGATAGGCCCGGAAATGATCAAAACAGATTTCATGGAAGCAATCGTGAAATTAAACCAGAAAGTGATCTCATTCCAAATCCTAGAAATCTTCAATCTTTCAGGCAAAAGTTGTACTTGAATTCGGATTGCAAACAATTCACAAAAACGAAATGAAAGTGATCAATCGAATGAATCACATGAAAAAGGTTGAAAAAGCCGTACAACAATGTAAAGGGAATGGAATTGAGTTTGAGGTGAGGATTGATCGACAAAAGTTTCCCATCTTCTTCAGATTTCAATCATTTACGGTCTTCCATCTCAAACATTGGAAAGTTTTCAAAAAACAGTGGATTATTGTATGAAATTGAAACCGAATACCCTTCATGCATTCCCATTAATGCTTTTAAGAGGCACTGAACTTTATGAGAACAAAGAGAAATTTGGATTGGTGGAAGGTTTGTGGAAAATCACAAAAAAACAAGTAAAGAATAGATTTCAAAGGGTAAAACTGAAGTCTAACTGAAGACTGACTTCTTGTTAAGATCTTCTTGAAGTTCAAGCCAAGAATTGCAGTGCTTTGAACATTTTTCTTTCTTACAGGCTTCGAAACTCCGCAAATCACGACAATACGCCAACAAGACGGAATTCCCCATGTGATTTCAAGTCCTACATTCACTTTCGAAGAATGGAGGAAAATGGCTGATTTGGCTGATTTCATTGAGACCGATTACAATAAATAACAATCCGATTGTCTTTAAACAATTTCTCTTCCACTATTTTATTTTGTCTCGGTATCTTGTCTCGTTTTAAATAGGTACTCATCGATTACAATTTGCATTTTATGCAAATTTTATCAAGCAGTATCAAAAAAGTGATAAACTTAAACGTTTTTCTACTCAGAATATTTTCTTTAGTTGATTATTTGCCATGGCGAAACCACGCAATTCTAAGAGATTGGGGTACCCGTGCCTACTTCCCTTCCTAGTATCGCGCGGCTCCTCCAACTTTGCATCTCTCGGTCAGAAAGTGTTTTTAATCAAGAGAGCATGCTTTAAACTATGTTATAAATAAGAAATATTACAAAGGTTCATTATTCGTCTATTTGAAAAGCAGCCATTGTAATCGATAAGTACCTAAAATATGTTTCAGAGTTATTTTAGGTGAATGTGAATGTGATTTCTTGAGGTTCAGGATTTACAAATGTAAAATGAAATAAAATCAACAGACTACTTGAATACTTTTAAATTATAAATTATTTCGAGGAAGCGACTTCAAGAGCGCGAGTACAAGACGTTTTTCAGTAAAAGCAATTTGCTAAACGCTAGTCAATTCTGTGCTCATCCAAGTGGTTCCTTCCCAAGCGTGGTTCAACTTGTTTGTAAATCGCTTTTGAATAGCCAAATCGATCTGCCTTCTGGGTAAAAGAACGACATAAAAAAGCATTTGAAGCCATCCGATCGTGCCATCAATCACAGCCTGAGACTTCTTGCTCCTTGAGACAAGAAAATGAATGATGGAGATGTTGAAATTCAATGGGTTCTTTCGAGAGAAGTACGCATCGCTGGAGAGTGAGCACTCGACAATATTTCTCAAATTTTCTTGAATCTAGTTTTCGAAAGAAGATAACATCGTTTCTTTAATAGTTTTAACTCTAAAAAATTATTTCAGATAATAAATAAAGAAGTCTAGCAAAAGTCTAGCAACTCTTGCGACCTGACACTTCAATAGCATGGGCCTCAAACCAAGCACTCCATTGCTTACTATGTTGCAATTGATTAATCGAAATATTGGATTCAGCTATTGTAAAGTTCAGTAATCATTTTTCTTATAATAATTACATTTTGCAATCTAAACTTAAGGCATTAACAAAGCTTTGTCTTTTGCATCTAAATCTTCGATAGGCTCAATCACATTAGCTTTGTGAAATTCGCTGCACGTTTCCGATTCTTTCCAATGCACTGCATGCATAGTCTATTTAAAATTACAGTCGAACCTCTCTATAACGTAACTCACGGGACGGCTATAGCTTACGTTATATAGAGGTTTACGTTATATAGAGTGCCGTTTTATATAGCTTAACGTCAGCCGGGACCGGTCACGCCTTACGTTATAGAGAGGTTTACGTTATATCGAGGTTCGTTATAGAGAGGTTCGACTGTAATTTCATTTGCTATTTAGAAAATGACTTTTGTCTGGCTTTTTTTGAGATCACGTTTTAGGAAACGCATTAACCGAGAGGAACAAATTATTCAGGAGTGTTGTAGTTACCCAAACAAACAGTTTATCGAGCATTCACGTAGCATCTCATTTATTTTATCGCCATGATTTTACCTAAACCTGTCTGTGTGATGTGGGTCTTCAAAGCTCACCACTCCGGGCACCAAAAAGACAATCGATCACGTAGGCTCGATAAACTTTCGTGCTTGAGATCAAAATGATGCTATTTAGCAATGAATGCAAGGTGTAGATCAAAGACAGTGAAGAGATTACTGAAAATTGAGATCAACACTTTCGTTGTCTTTGTGTAAATATCAGTCACCAATATTTTCGATGGGCACAAAATTGGCGAGACTAAGCGCCATCGCCAATGATGGGAAACCGATGAAACTGATCAGCACGCCACACTAAGATAAGTAAAATGAGAAATTTGACTAGCCAACCTGTAGAAAGAAAATGATTTGGATATAGCGAAGCATTTCCTTCGTTTTTTGACTGACCGACTGTTTCGATCACGGTTTGCCTAAGCCTTGTCTATTAGGGGTTTGCAAAAGAAACTGCGCATGACTTTCCGGAACAATATTTTCTCTATTTGAAAGTGCTCTAACCCAGTTTAAATTTTATTCTATTGTGTTGATAACGCTTATTTATTTTACTGATTTTCACATTTGTTTGACCATTGAATTATAAATAATTTTAGTTGTTGAAGATGACGGGACCGGGGCCCAGTCCTGCTAGAAGGCCATCTTAGGGTTTTTTCGACTCCAGGGAATCACAGCATTCTTGAGAATCTGATCTTGGTAAACCTGGGCATTGATTTTGACACTCATGTCGATGAAAACAAGCTGAGTCTTCGAATCCGCAGTCACTCCTCCCCAAACCATCAATCTTTTCGGAAAAAGACCCCGTGTCCGGATTTTCCGCTTCAAAGTGTTCTTCTGCGCCGGTGACATCAGTTGACGATGGTTTTGGGAATTGTGGGCAACTTCGATGATAGAAATTTTCTCATCTGACCACAAGACGTCCTCGATGGCCGTCTTAAAAAACAAAGGAGTCGCTTGGCTTTTTGAACTCGATTGTATTTCGCATCATCGGTAAGAAACTGACCTTGTCGCAGACGATAACTATGAAGTCCCAGCTCCTTTTTCACAATGTTCCGAACCGACCAATCCGAGATTTTCAGCTCCTTGGCCATTTTTCCTAAGCTTCGCTCGTCGTTTCGATCAATTCGCTGTTTGATGAGCTTCCGGATGTTTGGCTTGTTCACCGATCGAGGTCTTCCTTTTTTCGGCTTCTCCTTGACGTGTCCTTTCTCTTGCAATTGTTTGGCAAGCCGTTGAACAGTTCTGATGTTGGTTTTGAGCTTTCGCGAGATGGCCGCCTTCGACTCTCCGGCTTTCAAAAGCATGGCGATCGCTACTCGATGAGGGCAAACTTGCATTTCTAAAAATACACATTGAATAATATGCACCATTCGAAAGAGGAAAAAAAACTGGACAAAATCCATGTTTTACACAATGTAAAAGGATACTTTAAATTGTATAAAAGTTTGTTCAAAGAGACGCGACAATGCTTTTCTCGGACCCTGTAGATATGATAAGCCTTGTGAGTTCCTTTTCTTCTTTGCAATCAACTCCTTCAGTTGGTATGAAAGTGAAGCTCTTCATTGGCTACTCTTATTATCTGAATGTTTATTATGAATCAACGCAAGAGAAACTTTACGAGACAATTTGGGAGTATTTTGCTTGGAGGATTCGTGTCTTGGTCACTTTGTTGACAGGAGTTTTGGCTTTGATGACAGCTGTAAAAACGCGGAGAATGGTGCATTAATTGACTTGTACAATAAAAGACAAATAAGAAAATCGTTCTTTATTCTTTAATTCCATGAAATTGCTGACAAATCTGATCAAAAAGCCAACAAATTGCTCTTTCCATTGACTGTAGCGGCAAGTCTTTGTACTTTTTATTCATCTTTCATTCTTTAGCAATCCAATCCTCGTTTTTTAACATGTTGCCCATAAAAGTTGAGGGGCATCATTGTGAGACTCGAGTCCCAGATTTCGTCTTTTCATTTACACCTTTCCAATACGAAGCCCTTTCCCCTCCCGCGAAACACTCAATCAACGTGTCATTGCACCAAAATGAGAACAGTCTGTGCAGTGACATCTCCATCGATATCGGGCAAGTTCAGCTCGAATCCGATCGGATACATCCCAAGGACCCAATTCGGTTGATGAATATTGTGAACGATTGCATAAATGACTGAATGAGAAGTGATAAGTTATATCTTTCTCCTAAAACTCTAGCAGGTTTGCAGTTCAACAAACCCGTCAGAGAGAAAGCGATAATGAGACTATCTTAGCTGCTTGTGAACTTGTACCTGGGAACTTGTTGTCTTTTAGCTTTTTGATGATCTTCTGTACATATCGTTCATTCCACACAAACGCTCCAATTCCAAAATCGGTGTGGGAATCGGAAAATTTGAAAGCAAAATCGACAACTTGATCAGAATCGAAGGTGTCATTGTTGACATTCCACGATTTCTCGATTACATTCCCGCCATTCTTGAGGAGATTTGCAAGGATTGAGGCATGACCTAGGGAAACAACTGTTTTCAGAACTCATGAATAAGATGATTCTGGGCATTTGAACGTGAAACTTTCTTCGAAGCTTAATGCTTTGAAGATGATATAATTAAAGCCACAGTATTGGTTTCACATACCGTAAGCTTTAGTCTTTTGCTTATTCCGGGATCTTTAGATGTAAATCTTTAGAATTTCAAGCTAAGATTATGATAATTGCCTTTTGATTTGATTACCTAGAGACATTGGTGGATCTTTCGGACGAGTCCAATCTAAAGCTGTCAAAATGAGTCGTCGCATTCAATAAAATAAGATGAAAAGATGAAGTTCTTGGGAAGAATTTGGCTGTGAACCAATATAGTATAAATGGAATGAATATAAATGGGCATAGTCACAGTTGTACAATAACATCGCCTAAGCACCGATTTCATCAATTCTTTTGTCCTTTGCTTATCTTTTGTCTCTCTCGAACACCTATGTCTTTTTACTTTTGCTTTTCTCGGCTCCTTTCCCCTTTTCACCTCAAATTATATCGCATAAGCCTTCATTTTTTGGGAATTCAAAAGATTGACAAGGGAAAATGGAAAATGAATTGTGAAAGAAATTTTTGGGGCTCCAAACGTTCCGAATATTTCCATGAGATGATCGACAACTTTAAATTGTGTTTTCCTTTGCAATGCCCGCAAAACGACGAACTTTGTGAAATGATCCTGGTAGACCATCAAAAACTTGAATTCTCCATCGGAAATGGATTGAAGATCGATTAAATCCGTGCCTTTGACAAATGACGAAAAGGCCCCTTTTATAGCCTTTGGTTAAAGTATGATAAAATGCGTACTCTTTAGAATACGTTTT